CATCCATATCCATCCATCCATCCATCCATCCATATCCATCCATCCATCCATCCATCCATCCATCCATCCACCCACCCACCCATCCATCCATCCATCCATCCATCCATCCATCCATCCATCCATTTCTATATTAGTTCTTTTTTTCCTTTTTCATGTATCCGCTGTTCCAATTTTTTAAATATAATTTGAAGAGAAAGAAAGAGCGAGAGGGAATGAAGGGGAACTAAGAAACGAGAGTAATGAATGAAAAGAAAAAGGACGCCATTTTGTCATTGGCTTTTGAGAATTTGTTATGTATTCTACATTGATCTCAATCAGAATTAACAAAATTTATGCTAGTTGATAATCACATTTGGCGCCATGATCGCGACACCTAATTGGAACCGCCTGTATCTTTACCTAGAAGATAGAAAAACCCGCAGATCTAGTAGACGTACCAACAATCTAAATACTTCCTGAAGCCAATGAATAACCTTAAATTATCCTTGATGGTCCTTCTAATGTACACCACATTTACATTTAAAACTACGGTAGGGTAGCGAGAATGAAGACTGCGCCTCACCCCGCTGTGCATGATCGCAGGCTCGTTTTTAATTATCAATACAAAACACCCGCACAGAAATACTTAAATGTCATAAGAAAAAACAGTTGCTGAAGTGAATGCTTCGCCTTTAGTTATAACTATTTTTAAATTGTCTTCCTTCTCCTACACACCAGTCGTATGTAGATACATCTAGTCAAAGACTGAAGGGTGCCTGGAAGGCTGTCGTCGTGGATTGGACTTTAGCCGCACATATACTATATACCAGCAAGACAATCCCGAGACTTTGGATTCATTTTTTGCACAAGAAAAAGACGGTCTATTGTTTTGTCCCCCAGAACAATTCCTCTAGGAAATCAATTGCTACCGTATTTTCAAATTGAACCACACCCATTGTTTTGTTACAAGATGAACCTGCAACGTGTGTGCCTTACAAGAGTGTGCGGGTGCGAACCCAACCGCTCCCCGCGGGCACAATCAATTCTCGGGTCGAAACTAGTACCTAATGATAATATATTTTCTGTTTTATCGTATCCAAAGAATTTCTGCGCCTTTTTTATTTTCCAAAGCGTTGTTATGACTAAAATCTTCGATCAACCTTCCTCTGATCTGGAGATGATAATCGCTTGCTTCTGGCAATACTAATAAATCTCTCTCGTATCTTATTTAAAATAAATTAGTATTTTTTTAGGTTTAATGAAGAAAGACAAACACTCTTTACAAACAAACCCAACACCGATCGCGCTTTTCAAATCAGTAATTTACAAAATGAAGTCTTCTGTCGCTTGGTCATTCGCCTATCAGTCGCCTCTGACAATTTCGAAACTGAAAACCATGTTACTGATTAAACATGTCAAAGCTAATGTTAAAATCAACGTTTTCAAATCATTTGAAATTTTCGAATCTTGACAAATCGAGTCCTGAGAGTGCTTTCTTTTAGTAAGAAACAAACAGAGGGTACGATTTCGAGAGCCAATTTTTATGAAAAAGGACGGATTAAATTGAGAATGTTCTTAGCGGAACCGGCTCCAATCAGCGCGAAGGGAAGCCAGAAAGACCTCTAGAAGCCAAATTGCTTGCAAGCGTACTTAATTTCTATGCATCCTTTGATTATTTCACAATGCAGCGCTTTTGATTCTTAACGTCTTGTTACAAAGACATTGATGAATGGCTCTTTTCAAACAAAGAAATAAGTGTGTGCCGACATGTGTCAACGTTGCAAGAAGCTGAAAAGAAGGAAAAAAATTAAAATCCAAGATGGCGATCCATGCAGAGAAAACCTCGCAATTTTTTTTTGACGATTTTAACTAAACCGAAACTTKCATTATCTTCTCAAGATCGACAACGGCCTCAAATATCTTCCGGCGTACTTTTGAATCGAGCTGTAACTAAAGTAATTCTTACTTTGTCAACTATTTTTCTGTATGACTTTTGCGTCAAAAAAATGAGAAGTGTAACAGGTCGTTATCCACATTCGCGCTTACTATTTACTTTTGAAAACATTGAGCTTTTTCCCTTTCGTGAATTATTGACACTGTACTAAGCAAATACTTTTAGTGTTTGAAGACTTTGTGTTACGTTTCCTACCTTGAATGACAAGAAGTTTTCACACGTTTGAGTCTGTGAAGTGTCAGGCAAAAGAAATGTTTCACCGGTTTTTGAGGAAAAGCACGCGTGATTTTGTAATCTTATTTTTCTTCTTCCTTCATTAGTAGATATCTGTTACACCAATAGAAGCAAAAAATCATAAAGAAAGCTGATAATATGCACCATGAAATTCCAAATCGCACTTGTTAATCATTTTACGCCAAACGATTGAAAAGTTCCTTTTTAGTCGAGCCAATCATGCGCCAACACATATTTTGCAATTTCTTGAGACAAATTTTTCGGTTTACATCGACTAAAACGCTTGCAGCTTAAATGATATTAAGGAAGAGAATTCCAAATGATTACAATATCAAAAGTATACGTCAATTTAGCTCAATGCTGAAGGAAGCTCTTAGGCAAAAGCGATATTACAATGGATAAGGTTTATTCCATGATAGGCTACCGCATCGAGTGATGCAGTGGGTATTTCGATTTCCTGGGGGTTTTTTTCTCTGACTTTCCGGATTCCTTAGTTTTTCAACGTTTGAAAAAAAATTTAAAGAAAAATAATACAATATTTTGAATTACAAGATTCAAACTCATGCACCAGTTTGAATATCAGTACACCGAGCAAATAAAGAGAAACAAGGTATTGATCTAGGTACTTGTGATTTCCTATAAGTTCATGTTCCGCAAATAGATAATAGATCGAAAATAACATTATCTAGTAGAGGTAATTAGGCTGTGAGCTCGAAAGCGACTCTAACAAATTTTACGTTTTTTTAAAAGATAAAACCGCTAAAAATTTAATAAAAGATCTCGACGGATAAACTTCTGTTCTTGGGCCGTCAATATTAAAATAGATTAAACATGTTAAAATAAAAAAATAGTGATGATGATGATGATGATGATGATGATGATGATGATGAATGGAAATCCTGTGTTTTCGCCCCGAATCTTGGGCACATGCATATTTGCTCAACTAAAAATAAATCTAAATTAAAATAATAGTAATAATAATAATAATAATAATAATAATAAT